AGTACTAGGCACTTCTGCCTGTACCGCCACCAGATCACGCTGTATGAGCTCTGTAATTGGAAGAGATTTAATGGTTTTGTTAATCATTATCGCCGTTCTAGGACGATCAACATTATTATCATAGATTAACTTACACGTTTTTGTCTGTAGACCGTTTATGCGCCCCTTTGTGGCCCATGGTTCTTGGATGGCCACAAAATCCAGACAGTGTTGTTCCACCAGGGCACTGAGCCTGTATGAAGCTGCTATAGCCCGGTGGAGGTTGATTTGGAGGCAATGAAGTTGCCTCCAAGAGTTTTGCGGATGTGGCGGAGTCCGGGACATTATATTCCAGACTGGCCCTTGCGGACCTTGCCGCCCTTCGTACCGCGCAGCAATTCCGCGGCCTCCGGGTCTTTTCGTTCCCATTTCCTCAGACGACCAGAGAGAGCGGAAGGTTTTCGGCCCTGGGCACGGATTCTGCCCCCTCTCAAGGGTGGTCCCCCGGAATTGAGACCCGTTTTCGGCTTCTGGTTGCTTGACTGAGCACAAGCCGCAGATGTTGTTGGTCGCTCATCTTCAACCACTTCCTTTGCTCTGTTTCCTTTATGTCTTGGTCTCAGCACGGCACTGCTAAGTCCATAGAAGACTTTATTGCCCAGCTTTCCGACCATTTCGGACGACATAGGATCCAGAGCAATCGCCATCTCGACGATATCGCCCTTATTGAGCCTGTGGAGTACCCGCCAGTCCCTGACACGCATGCCCGAATTTTGGCACTCAATTTGTCCCAGAATACGGTCGCTTTGCCAGGAAGCTGAGCCTGGGAAGTAGCCAACATAGATTTCAGACTTTGGCACTTCTGCCTCGTCCACTACCTTCAGCTGGGCTCCTTCCCACGGCTTCAAGGCTGGGATTGTCTCTTTAGACCAAGTTACAGTCTCGTCGTCCAGACAGTTAATGGTAAACCATCCGGGCTTTAGACTGTAACCGGCGAAATGAGGCTTCACCCCAGGAGCTCGACAAGTTTCGTACATCTTATCGAGGATGCATTTCTGCACCTTGCCAATTTCCTCATTGGACCAAATGCCCTCTGGGAAATTGTGCGGTAGTATACCGATCTTCTTAGAGCGAACAGTCTCTGCTAGGGTAGGCTTTGAACAATGGTCTTCGGAAGAAGTACTGTATTTAGCCTGCCCCACAGATACCGTCGCCACCTCTTTACTGGGACCAGGTTTGCCCCCGTGTGAGGTCTCTACTTCCTTCATCCTACTGAAAATCGGCAAAGCAGTTGCAGGCACTGTTAATTTATTATCAACTTTCTTGCCCTGTAGTGCAATCCGCTTTGTCGGTTTTGAGCTTGATGTTGGTGTAGAGCTGTCCGATCGGGATCTTTTTGGTGTTGCCTGCCCTTCGTTACTCGCAGTGGCCGGCTTTACTGCCAAGGACCTTGCTGTTTCCAGCGGGATGCCCTTGGCAAGTAAAGCCTTCAACCTTTTGCGTCCAGCGCCGGATAGCTTCACCCTCGTTTGAGTCTTTTTAGTTAGACCAGGCTCCAGAAGATCTCTCTCCTGTTCCGAGGAGATAGACATCCCAGCCGACTCTTGGCTAAGTGGAATGTCCATTTCCTCCGGCTTGTCGGGTAGAGGACCAGGTGCCCTCTCCAACAAGTCGTGGTCCATTTGTTCACTGACGATGGTACCAGGTGCCCCCTCGTTCAGTGATAAGTTTTGGCTTTGTAAAACCATATTTTGCACATTTAAAGGTGTGCAGTCCATAGAATTGAAAATGTTATTTTGTTCCATACAAAGTAAGTTTAAATAAACCGTACAGGTTGGTCACCCATGAGCGCCCCCATGGGAAGGACAAATTGAAACCGTAGGTTTGCCAGACCTGGTACGAAGTTCGCTATTAAGCTTGACTCTACCCTGTCAAGCAAGTTCACCAGCATAGCTGTTCCACTGTGAGTTTAGGGGGTTTGTTTGGGGCAATAGGTATGTTCATATTCCAGTCTATCAAGACCTAGCCTTGGGAGCCTAGAATATGTACAGACCCTCCCCTAGGGAGTTTTCCTTCTCCCCCGCCCGACTATCGGCGACCCACAAACAGCAGAGACATGACCGTACTGAAGGCGAGTCATTGGTCTGATAGATAGCCGCACTTTCCTATAGGACTGACCAATTAGCAAGTGTCCATTAAAGTCCACTAGCTAGCCTCAACGACTGATCAGGATTCGTAGATACCTACTTTCAACCTGTGCGTTGGCGGCAGTTCTTAGTTTGTGTGCTGAATCATGTCACATGAAAAATCATCATGTCATGACTTCCATATGACATGCTTCAGTCCACAATAAGCCCCTACACCACGACAAGGTGACTACCTAGCAAGGGGGACGCTTACATTGTTGGCTTTCCAGATTTTGTTAAGCGATGCGAAAGAGCCATTTGCCTTTTTCACTCTACTGCCGATGTCCTTTGACGTGCCACCCTCGCTGTTGACTATACTCCCCAGGTATTCGAGTTCCTCCACGTCTTCAATGTTTTGATCGTACAGAAGGATGGGCGATTGATTGCTTGCTTTTGTTCTCATTGTTTTTGTCTTTGAGGCGTTAATTTTTAGGCCGACTTTATATGACTGCTCACATACGTTATTAACAAGAGTTTGCATATCAGTGTGTCTGTTTGTTAACAATACTACATCGTCTGCATATTCAATCGTTTGAGTACTGTTTTGACATGTTTGAAATGTTCTTCACGACTGCGACTAACAATAATGATGTCATCTAGATATGCGAATGCGAAGGGTTCCATTTCGGGTCCAATTATTGAATCTAGGGCTCGCTGAAATGTAGCAGGCGCCGAATGGAGACCAAGTGGCATAACTTTCCATTGAAACAACCCTCGACCTGGGACTGTGAATGCCGTAAATTGTTTACTGTTTGGATGCATTGCTATTTGCCAATAACCGTTCTTCAGATCTAGGCTGCTTATAAGTTTGGCCTCGCGCAGTCGATCCAAGATATAGTTGATTCGGGGTAGTGGGTAGGCGTCAGGTCGCGATTTCGCATTCAGCTGACGGTAATCAATGCACAATCGCCATTTGCCGTTTCTTTTCTTCACTAGGACGATAGGGGCACTATACGCGCTTTTTGAAGGTTCGATGCAGTCATTTTCTAGTAACTCGTCAATTTCCTTGTTGATGATAGACTGCATTGCCGGATTTCGGGGATAATACCTTTGTTTAATTGATTGGTCATCGGTCATAGTTATTGTATGATACGCTACCGTACTAACTCCCTTTACCGTGTTGAATTTGGCCAATTAGTGTTCCACAAATTCTTTTATGTCGGGTTCTAATAGGGCTGTAACCGGTTTCTTGGTTTTGACGTCCGTGTGTTCTTCGCTCTGTTGTTTATCGTTGAGTACGGCTTGACCTGACTCGAGCCGTTCTTCCCCCGAAAAGAGGGGGGTTGGTCTGGGTGAGTTTACGTTGATTGGCATCACGCAAAGCTTCCCACCCGTAGTTCCTATGTTCTGGCCTAAGATAAAATCCTGGCTTTGATGATTTTGTGGGTTTTTGTTTTGGATGGTAATTGTTGAATTTCTACACTGCAAAGTGGCACCTGTCGTTTTCAGAAAGTCTATCCCTAATATGACATCATCGTTTGCGCCTTCCAAGATGAGAAAGGATACTTTGATTGTTTTATCTTCATATTCTACGTCGCAATCGAACTGCTATGTTACTTGAATCGTCCCATCTGCTAAGTGGATTATCTCATCGTTTGGTAATTTTATCCCTGCAGCGAGATTTTTTTTTAGAATCTGGTCTCCGATAACACTCTTCGTGGCGCCTGTATCAATAGTAGCTATAGTAGGGAATCCCCCTAGTTTGATGACCGCATAAATACCATTCCCATTTGCGTACAAAGTCTTTAATTTGATGGGTGAAATGATCGGGTGGTTGTCGTCCCGCCTGACGTGACAAACCCCAAAAGAGTTTCCCGATGGTTTCTGATGATTTCTGTGAATTGGGTTTTTCCTACAGCATTCGATTGTTCGACGGTCCAGAATGCCACAAGTCCAACAAAAAAGTACTTTAGGTTTTGTGCAACCTCGCGCAAAATGATTCGCTTCCCCACATCTACAGCACGCACTTCGTATGTTCACCCTTTCGGTTTGTACTCTGTGAACAGACACTGCAGGTGACCATTCTTGAGTGTGTTGTCGCTCTGTTCTGCTTAGTGGAATAAGTCGCTCGAATTCTCCTGCTAATTTGATCAACTCTCCCAAGGAGCTAAATTCACGTGGTTTGATGTTTAGTTGGTATTCCGCCCTACTGTTTCGATAGATTCGGCTTAATTGTTGCCCCCTTGTAAACTCGGCATACCGCATCAACTCCTGTAGTGCTAAGACATAGTCTTGAAATGATTCATTCTTCTTTTGGTATCTGTTCCGAATCGTATCTTCTAGTTGCTCTAAATAATTAGAGGGCAAGAAAAATTCTCGAACATCCTGGACAAAACTTGACCAGTGTGTCCACTTCCGATTGTTATTTCGGAACCACATTAAGGCTCTCCCTTCGAGTATTTCTAGCATCATTCTGGGCAGGATGTCTTTGGAAATGTTATGGTTGTCGGCGAGGCCTTCCAGTCTCTCCAGAAATGGTAGTGGGTTCGTTTCGCCATTGAAATGCACAGCCCATTTGCGAACTTGATTCGCGATTCTCGCGATGTCCTCAAACTTGTCATTCATTGTGGTGGGCTCTGAGATGTGTATTTTCGGTGTTTCTGTTTCGAAACCTGGAAGTTTGGGTGAGAGACTACGATCGTATTTAGCTTCCATTTCCCCAATTATGTCTAGTAATTTTGACGGGTTTTCCTCCGTTGTTAGATGATCACGTACCCGCTTTCGTAGCTCCTCAACGGTTCCTGATGTACTGACCTTGATTTCTTCTAGAATTAAAATCAGATCCTCTTTGCGCGCTATAGAAATCCATGCCGTCTTGACCATGTTACTAGTTTAATGATTTAAGCGACTTTGTGTGTAGTCTAATGATTTTTCCTGAAACGTTTGTACACTATTCTTTATGTTCCTAGTGCGTTCTTTTTTTTCTTCTAAAACTCTGTCCCTGCTCGGGCGCCAATTGTAACGACACTTTGGGTGACGTTCAAAAATTTTTAGTTTTTGCTGGGGTATCCTCAGCCGTCGTCCAGAGTCGAGACAAATTATTTATAGTTTCGCTGAGACGTTGTTTTAGAAGAAAAGAACATTGTTTATATATATAAATTATATATATCTTTATTTATTCCATAAAAAAAACTTATGATTAACAAAGTTTAATTAAACAAATTCTAAATAAATTATTTAGCATATAATAAGTGATCATTCATTGAAAGCATTCCTTTTGCTTTTTAATAATAAAAAAAAATA